TCCAGATTTCTTCTTTGGCGGCAGATCAAAAGACAGCCTATCAATAAAGACAGACTCCAGAGTGAACCTTCCAACATCTGCCTCAAAGCCACTAAACAACAGATTTGAGAGTTTTGAAAAACTTAATTGCAGACAAATTTCACTGCCTCTTACATAAATATATATGTTCGTGTCCCTGGGGTTGTTCTGACCTCATCCATTTTCGTGTTGGCAGTATTCGACACTCTCAGTCACCAGCAAGGGTGTGGCGGTTCCACCATCACAGAGAATTTGAGAGCCTGGCTTTTCATTCAGAATGAAGGATGAATGGACTTCCTTCTCTGCCAGGAAACACTGAGTAAAACTCAGGGGCAAGCATTTGATCATGGAATGCTGTGGAAAAGAAGGCTCCTCCCTCTTCCAATACCTGCTTTGTTTGCTCCTGATTGCCATTGAGGGTTTGCTTGGTCTGGATGTCCTGTATATCAGGTGTGTGTGTGTGTGTGTGTGTGTGTGTGTGTATGTGTGTGTGTGTGTAGGGTTAGGAATAGTAGTGAGTCTGATTATCAGATGTGTCTTATTGTTGTCAGCAATTCCATATAAGAAAGCTTAATAACAAAATAAAAGTCTGGACAGATCTGTATGTTTGTGAAGAGGCATGGACAAGAGTATACTGGTTCCATAGTAGCTCTTTTCCTTTTAGTATGAGTTAATTCACATCCCATAGGTGGTAACTACCTGAAATTGGACTATGATTGTTGAACACAGAGGTATTCTTCCTACCCAACAGCCATGTCTGTAGTTGAAGTAAGGACTTAGTTCAGAAAGTCACCTTGACTGGGCATCTGTTTAATTCAGGGACCAATATTCATAAAATGACACAGGGTCAGGTGGTTTAGAAAGACACAAGTCATCCCATCCTGTTTGTGTCTGCTTCAACCTTTGAACTTCTGGGGTCAATCCTAACCCAGCCACAATAGGAACAAAATGTCATGTCATTGCTGACATGCTATAGTTAGCCCTGCATAGCTGCCATGACAGTATCTGTAACTGAGCATGCTCAAACGTTCTTGTCATTATTCCCTAACCCACCTTTTACAGAACTCTCAGATTGTATCAGGTGTGACAAGTACCTTATATACAGTATAAAGTCTCCAGAAGTGCATGCCTACGTGACAGATAAGTGCTGTGACATTTTAATCGAGGAATTTGAGAATTCCAGGATGTGGTATCCTCAGTGGTTCTGGGAACCAACCCTTCACAGTTACAGAGGGGCTGCTTCTTTGCCACAATAGAACAGGGAACTTCTATTAGAAAACCAGCTATGGGGGGGAGCTGCTGCAGAGTGAGTCTTCCAGGTTGTGGCTCTAGGCCTCCTTTCCTCTGGAATGAGCCTTTCTCTGGTGTACACCAAAGCACATATGCCCACTGAGCCTCTGCATGCTGAATGTCCATTTTCACACACGGACCTCTAGTACTGACACAAGCTGCCCTTCATGGCGGGGCTGTGTTTTTGTATATCTTTGTGTAAATAGTGCTGTGTCAGTTGGGATTCTCTATAGACACAGAATTGTTAGAAGAAATACATATATGTGGGATTTATTAGAGGGGCTTAGAGTCTGGGTAGTCTGTCTCATAACAGAATGGCTGAGAATCTAGTAGCCATTCAGTCCACGTCCTACTCTGCCCTTGGAGTCCATAAGGATTCCTAGAGAGCTGCTGGTTTTCAGTCTGTATTGGAATCCCAAAGATGTTGGGTTGAATACTGATCACAGCAACAGAGTAGACAGACTTGCCAGTAAGAATGAGGGCAAAAAAAGGAAAAAAATCATGTCCCCCTTTTTGTGGGCATCTTACAGGTGCAGCCCAGATTTAGAATGATTCAAATAATATGATTAAGAAAGTGCCCAGCATCTTTAGTTAATTTCAGATGTAGTCAAGTTGATGACCAGGATTAGCCATCAGAAGCACCTAGTGGAGAACGGGCACAGAGCAGAATGGGAGCCTACTGTGTGCCTTCTAGGTGGCTTCATGGATGGATGGATGGATGGATTTTTCTGGCTCTAAAGGGGAGTGGTAACAGCCACCTCACTGGTTCTTGTGGATTAAATGAGCCAACACATTAGGTTCAGTCGTGTCAAGATCATAGCAAGCACTCTGCATACAGATCTCGGATTGCTTCTAAGATCTCTGGTTGTTTCTGTGTTCTGTTTTGTGTAGCACATTTCTTGTAAAGCAACCTGTAATGTTGCAGTGGGTAGAAGATGATGGCAACAGTGGTCATGATGACACCATAGCTCTCAAATTTGAGATGCTGTGTGTCTTAAATCCTCATAATAACACTGATTTACTATTAATATCTTGTTTTATTTATTATTTTAATCTATGTGTATATGAGTGCTTGTGTATGAGGGTATTGTATTCCCTTGAGCTGGAGTTACAGGGGTTGTGAGCCACCCAATATGAGTGCTAGGAACTGAACCCAGGTCCTCTGGAAGAACATCAAGCACTCTTAGGTTCTGAGCCATCTCTCAACCCCTGCTACCTCTTTTTTTTCTGGTTGTAACTGAAATAACACACATGAGGTCGTGAAGTTAGTAGGTGATGAAGATGGGATTCAGATGTGGGTTTACTAGAATCAAAAGTGCTGCAAGCCTACTCATTCTGCTCCTTCCACACTCTGTCCTTTCCATTGGGAAGTCTCTGACTTAGAGGAGAGGATGCAGGAAGTCAAGGAGGTAGCATGAGTCATACGAATAGCAGGGAATAGGCTGCTCAGCTAATACTGCTGTTCCTTCCTTCCTTTCTTTGTTCCTTCATTCATTCGTTCATTCGTTCCTTCATTCCTTCCACTTCAGTTAATACTAGCTTCAGTCAAATATGCTAGAAAATACAAATATCAGTGGCTGGAACAAGATAGAATTTTTCCTCTGAGACAAGAAATAAATGAAAATTTTCTCAAAGCTGGTACGGTGTGGGTTCTAGTCCATTAGAGCAGGTTTCTGTGGTCTTCGGCTGCCAAAAATAATTGGCAGAGCACTTTCAACAACGTCAAGATGTGGAATTATATCGAAGTATTCACCAACAGATGAATTTGTAGAGAAAACGTGGTACAAATACACAATGGAATATTACTCAGCCATAAAAGACTGAATTGTCATTTGTGGCAACATGGATAGAAATAGAACTGGGCAGTGGTGGCGCTTGCCTTTAATCCCAGCACTCCGGAGGCAGAGGCAGGCAGATCTCTGAGTTCAAGGCCAGCCTGGTTTACAAACAAGTTCTGGGATAGCCAGGGCCACAAAGAGAAACCCTGTCTCAAAAAGAGAGAGAGAGAGAGAGAGAGAGAGAGAGAGAGAGAGAGAGAGAGAGAGAGAGAGAGAGAAGAAAGAAAGAAAAGAAAAAGAAATAGAGTTTATTTTGTCAAATTAACTAAGGTAGAAGCAGTAAGACAAAGACCACGATCTCACTCAAATGTAATGTGAAATATTGATTTCATAGAGGTAGGGATTAGAACAGCAGCTATCAGGACCCGGGAAGGGAAAAAGGGATGGAAAGAGGATGGTTAATGGGAATAGGAGTGCAGTTGGATAAAAGGAATGACTCTTCATGTTCTATTATTAAAGGATTTGCTTTGATCAGTAATGGGCATCAGCCCCACAGCCCTACACATTAGGCAAATGCTCTACTGTTGAACTATATCTGAGTCCACTTCAGTTTTTAAAATCTTGAGATAAGACTGTGTGTGCATGTGTGTGTGTGTATGTGTGTGTGTGTGTGTGTGTGAACATGCTTGTGTGTGTATCTTCACTTACTACTTTAGAACTTGTTCAGGGTCTTTCATTGTGATGATTAATGTCCTGCAGTTCTTGGAAATTTTCATGCGCGATTTCTTAAATAATTACCTGCTGTCCATTTCTATGTTCCTTCTTTCTGGATGCCCTCCCCTCCCCCATTTCTAATGTTCTACAGCACAGTAGAGTAATGATGGTTGACAACAATTAATTGTATACTAAAAAAGATCTAGTAGGGAGGATTTTAAATGTTTCCACACAGAAATGACAGATGTTTAAGGTGGCAGATATACTAATTACCTGGACTGATCACTTTACTTTGTGTCCCTATACTGAAATATCAGACCAAATGCTTTCTACATATGCACAAGTGTGTGCAATTAATTTTTAAAAATAAGCAGCCAGGACACATGCTTTCCTGTTTCACGGAGCTGGACCTGTCTTTCCCTATTCCATGTTCCCCCTCTACAGGGTGGGGAAAGCCCTTTTTCCTCTTTCAGCTTGCTAGTGTTCAGTGGAAGCCTAGCAACACCAGATGCACAGTAGACCAAAACAACACTGTATTCACTCTGAAAATTAACTTGTCACTGGAACCATAGAGCACAACAGTAAGCTGGACCTCTGAGCTGAACCTAAACACAGCAGCTGACTGGAAAAATAAAAGATTAAAATGGGACCAAGAGTCTCCTAACATAATAACCAAGATGTCCAGGACACAATCAAAACTCATCATATTGAAAACCAGCAAAATCACAACTTGAATGAGCAAAGATAATCAACGGACCTCAGGACAGATTGAATGTTGGAATTGTCTGAGAAAGAATTTTAGAGCAGTCATCAGAAAAAAAAATACTTCAACAATCACTTACAAATTCTCTTGAAACAAACGAGAAGGGAAAGAAACTCTCAGCAAAGAAATAGAAGATTTTTTTTAAAGAACCAAGTGGAAGGTGTAAAATACATATCAGAAGTAGAAAGGACATGTCCTTAGGCAGGATCAGCCTCTTCAAGGAACCGTGGAAAGACAATTCAATGATTTCCATTTAATCCCATTGCTTTTTCCTAGCTGCAAGGGAGGCTAGAACACAAAGTCTCAAACTTAGAATACCAGTGGCAGATTGGAGTTTTCTTTCTTGAGTAAAAGGAAAGAATAGAACAAAGGTATGGTGAGGGTGATAATGAGACTCTGGGAGTGTAAACTGGAATATGGACTTACCTGCTACTTACCAGAGAAATCAAGTGCCCACTAATGAGATTGGTGTCTGCTTTGGTTCAGGCTGGCATGATCCACAGTTACCATGGTTTCTCTGTCTTCCATAGAAGCAAGTTGATGTGACCTGATGTCACAAACACCTTGGCATGCTCACCTTCTGGGAGAAGGCCACTTAATTACCTGATTAATTTGCTCATCTTAATTAACTTGTCCCTATTGTTGATAACCTTATATTGATTGCTCTGCTGTTAGTAATTAGAAAAGCGGGGAAGAAATAAATCGAGAAGTCATAGAAAGGGTGGGGGAGCTCAGACTCCTGTCTTCCTGGAATCTACTATCTCAGCTTTGAGCTTAACACTTTGGCTTCTCTTGTTTGGTGAATATCTTAGAGACACTGCTAATCATTTCTGTTTATTCCTCATTCCCTCTTGTGGAATGTACCCTTTTTATTTGCCCAGAGACTCCAGTCTCAAACTCCAACATGGCCTAGCCACACAGTCACAGCTGTTCAGACAATGGATGAGCACTTGAGGTGGGTCAACCATATATATAGTGACATTTCAATGACTTCACGCTATTCCAGGATACAAAAGAACCACAGTTTACTTTGCCAGCCAATACTGTGGGGTGTTGAAGCTATTTTCAAATGTATCTGTTAAACCATTAGTGCCCATTCGAGCTCTTTCCTTAGAATAACATGCTGAACAAAATCTTGATGCCCTAGTTTAGCTCTACCTTGCTAACGAATGCACGTATTTAAATCTTTTGATGCTTATGATCAATAGGTGTTTTCTGACAGGCGGGATAAAACTAAGCTTTTCAGACCTTTCAGGGCATTGCCTCTTCATTCATATTCTCAAACACAGGTAAACTTTGTTTCGTATCACTGGCAATTCGATTCACGCTGGGGTTTTGCAACCAGGTCTGGAATCATGAATCTAATAACTTTCCTCTGCCCATTACCATTCCAAGAACTACCCATTCCTCTGCCATGGGGGTAGCAATGCCAACAACATTCTCACTACATTTACTTCATCTGGGCAGGAAATTGCAAACTTTGTCCCTACATTTATTCTACCAATGAGTACCCACTTTTATTGAGTACACGTTTTGATGTAGGTAATATACTGATGGGTGAGACTGACAAGATCCTTGTGTTTATAAATAAGAAAGTCTCTGCCACCATCCACACTGCAACCTGCCTTGGGCCCATAGTCTGCTCCCATCTCAGTGTATGGAAAGGAGCTTCCATTCCAAGCCCTGCATACGATTCCCCAGGTGCTTGCTACCCACACAGAGCTTCACGGACATTTCTTTCTCTTTCCGTCTTGGCCTTGATGAGAATTGACCAACATAATGGGCTTCTGGTGAACAATTTGATGATGGCCATCTCAGAGTGGTCCTGACATTCCAGAGAGGAGGCTCAACCAACCATCCCATAGAAGGTGGTTTTCCTGAGTGCAGTTCCTCATATACTGGAATGTTTCATGAAGTGTGCTATTTTTAAGGTAGATGGAATTTTAGAAGAAGTGGAGTGTAATATTCCTGTTTCTCTAGTTTGCTTTTCACATGTCCCAGTTCTGAGTAGCCATTCTCCATCTTTGAGATATCCGACGGCAGGTACACAGAGGACAGGACCAGAAGCCATAATTTTTTCCTAGATGCAGAGTCAACAACAACAAAATTCTCAGATGCTTTTATTTGAGGTACAATAACTTGATAAGCACACTATACAAACTGGGGTGACTCTAAACCTTTTACAAGACCAGTGGGCTGGTTAGTCTCTGCCAGCTTGACACAAAGTCTCCTGGAAAGAGGGAACCTCAGTTGAGGGATTTCCTCCATTAAATTAGCCTGTAGGCCATCTGTGGATCATTTCTTTTTCTTTATTGTTGATTTATGTGGGAGGGCAAGGCCACTGTGGGTGTTGTCACCGCTGGGCAGGTAGTCCTGGGAGACATAAAAATAATAGCTGAGTAAGCCACAGTAACCATTCCTTCATTGTCCTTCCTTCAGTTCCTGCCTCCAGGTTTCTGCTTGAGTTCCTGCTCTGACTTTCCTCAGTGATGGACTGTGATATAGAAATGCAAGCTAAATAAATCCTCTTCTCTCCAAGTTGGTTTTGGTCAGTGTTTTACCACAGCAACAGAGAAGCAAAACAAGGAAATCGCCATGTTTATCATTAGAGACCATTAGTCTATTTCTTAGAGGTTTTGCCAGAAAATAAATGTAGTATAATGTAGTATTTAAGGATATCCCATGTGCAGAAGGATGGCAAGTGTATATGTGAGTGTAGATTGTTTGTGTGTGTGTGTGTGTGTGTGTGTGTGTGTGTTTTAGAGGGCTGTTAGGAAACCACCTAGCAAATTCAGATGGAAGAGTCTCATCTAATACATGTTTGCAAGTTTCCTCTACTTTGTGGATCTTACTGCATACTCCATTTGGATTTTTCCCCTGGTTCCCGATAGAAGAAAATTCTATGGGGGTAGAGAGCATACCCATCTTTCTTGACACTACCTTCCAACAGCTTAGAATGATGCCTGGCACATAGAGGCCGCCCAAAAGAGACCATAAACCAATACACTGTATTTCCTTCAAAGAACCGTTCTATGAGGGAATCTCTATCATTTATCTGACACTGCTCCACACTCTACCATGTGCACACCACTCCAAAATGCCAGAGCATCTTCTGCCATCACTTGGTCCAGCACCTTCGAGGACCTGAAATACCACAAAAAAAATGTGTCCTTGATAGCAAGTTGCAATGACTTGTGGATTCCACAGCTCCCGCAAATCCCGTATAGATCCATAGAGGACGGTTATCACAGAATCCGACAGTGACCATTTGGGGAGGAAAGATTTCTCTTGGTGCCTGGTTTCAGAGGAGCCCAATCCAATGTGGCCAGAAAAAAAAAAGGATGGGGCATCTTAAATTATGGTGCCAGAAGTGTGTGGCTAGGCTGTTCCATCAGGCCAGACAGAAAACTGGAGTGAGGCAAGAACCAGAGGTCTACCCCTAGTGACCCACATTGGACATCTGAACCGAACCTCCTAAAGATTCCATAGCCTTCCAAAATGATACTCCCAGCTGGAGATCAAATGTTCAAACAGGAGACTGTGACATCTCAGATTTAAGTAGCAGAGGGAAACAAAAGCATTTACTTTATCACTGATGCTTCTGGGGACACCAGTTGTCTCCTTTCCCTACCCCACCACACAGTTGCAGATATGAGGGGATGTGGCACCCAATTCAAGTACAGACCTCAATTTTCCCCAGCTGTCCCTTTCTCCAAGTATTGAGTCTCCACTATGACTAGACTCCAAGGACAAGCCTTTCTCATCCCACCCTGGAGAATCTTCGAAGGGACAGGAGGGTGAAGGTGCTAGCAGAGGTGGAGAGAAGGGTCTCTAGAAGGTGCAGTCTGCTGAAGCTGCTTGCTGGTGATTGGCAGCTAAGTTTAATGGACCAGGCACGGCGCCATACCAACAGATGGGCACACAAGCAGATAGACAACGGATAATGTATGAGCAACAAATGTGTTTGTTGAGGGCAGTTTTCCCAGGTAAGAGCGTTAAAGTGGCCTCATCTGGAGTCGTCACACCTGTGCTTCCCTGTGTCTGAGACCCTGTGGGACTGTGGTTCCCAGTGCAGAGCCCACACAGGTGATACCTACCTCACATGGGAGGAAGGACTGATCTTGAGGTGCACGGGAGACATGGTAGGAACCACAGGAGCTGTTTCTGCTGCAGGAAGGAAGGGGCTTGACATAGACCCCCACACACCTGTCAGTGTTTCCCCACTTTCACAGGTGAAAAGTTGTGAAAACCTATTTGGTGACAATCATGGAGCCATGATGAGCTTTGAGGGAATAAACGAAACATTTGAAGAATTGACTGCTGGCCTGAGGTCATTTCCCTGGAAACAACCAGCTCCACTCTCAGGAGACATAAATTAGGAGTGTCAGGACAAGTGTCCTGATGTAACCAGCGTCAGTCTAAAGTTACCTTCTCCTATGCCCACGGCAGTCACTGTTCATTGACTGCCTCATAGATAGTATTTCCGTATGAACCTAAGGCCAGATTTCAGAACTTTTCAATAGATGCTGTATTTACAGGGGACCAAATGCATAAACTATGAAAGTATATACCTAGGAAAGTATATACCTAGAAAGTGCATACCTCCTCCCACCCCAACCCCATCCACACAGTTGCCCTCCCACACTGAGACAGAGATACACTGTCTCAGAATTTGGGGGAAAACCTAAGCTTAGAGAGGATGTGGTTCAGGAGTTCAACTGATCAATTTCAGAATCTACACTTTTAATATCGGAAAAGTGACTGGTTCATTAGTATTTTCAAATGTATTTTATTTATATATTCCTTGACAGCCTATATATGTATGCGTGTGTTGTTTTTTTTTTTTATCTTACCCACCCCCCATTTTCCTCCTCAGACTTCTCCCAGAGAGCTCCCTGCTCCCTTCCCAGCTTAACAGCTCTCTTCTTTTTATTTTTCTAGTTAGTAGTTTTCCACCCATTGTGTCAGAGCAGACTAACCCAATACCGATGAACTAGGTCCATGGAAACAATTTCTGAGTATAGATGCTTCTGTGTGTGGCCATGATGGATTGACTTGAGTGGTCAAGGATTCCCAGAGGCCAACATCCACTAAGCAGTGTCAGAACACCTAACATTTACCAACAACACCACGGACTCTTCGAGCTGGGGTTGGGGTTCAAGGTCAAATGCCTTGCTGAGAAACTTCATAGGGCTGTGAATGTTGAGGAAGCCTCAAATAAACAATGGAGTCCCTTTCTTCATTTTAGAATCTCCTAACTGATTATCTAGAACTCTATTTTCTCTTTCTGAAGTAAAACTCCCTGTTGATGTGAGCTTACTTACCTTAGAGATAGGCCTACTGGATTGGAAGCTCATCTTGTGTCCCATATGTGTGACACGAAACCTCCCCTAACCTTCCTTTTCCCCTAAAATAAATAAGGGGAGGACAATAGCAAATGGAGTTATTGGGAGAGCTGAATGGGATCAGAATAAATTTAAGCTATGAAACATAATACCTAATGCATGGTTAACACTTGATCCCTTGGCTAATGTTGTTTAATGATTGCTTTCAATGGGGGCAGTAGAGAGTAAAGGGAACACTCAAAGGGCTGAAGTCTTATGTTAATATCAATCAATGTGGCCAAATACCTAGAAAGAAGAAACTAGGAAGAAGGGCTGATTTTGACTTACAGTTTGAGAAGGACCACAGTCCCAGCATGGTGGGTATGTGCACAGGGAGGGATGTGAGGAAGTTGATCACATGGCATTCATATGAGTGGGATGCAGTGCTCAGTTCATCTCTCCCATTTTGCTTACTCTGGGCTTCCACACACATTCAGGATGGGTCTAAAACATCTCAAATACCCTCACAGATAATCCCAAAGGTGTGCTTTCTAGGTGGTTCCAAACCAAAGCTGGAAGGATGGCTCAGTGGTTAAAAAGACTTCTGGCTCTGCCAGAAGATCAGAGTTAGGTCATCAACAACCTTATCAGGTGGCTTAACCATCTGTAATTCTAGCTCCAGGGAAATCTGATGCTCTCTGTGGGCATGTATGTACTTGCACACACACACACACACACACACACACACACACACACACACACACATTGATGGGGGAATGTCTTTCTGTAAAATGTTTCTCTTATTGGTTGATGAATAAAACACTGATTGGCCAGTAGCCAGGCAGGAAGTATAGGCAAGGCTACCAGACAAGGGGACTTCTGTGGAGAGGATGCAGAGAGTGAGCCTCCAGGGAGATACCATGTAGCCGTTGAAAGAGTAACATGCTGGAGCATTCTCCAGTAAGCCAAGACCACGTGGGAATACTTAGTTTAATAGAAACAGGTTAATAATTAAGAGATGGCTAGCCAATAAGAAGCCTAAGCCATCCGCCAAACCGTTTATAATGAATATAAGCCTCTGTGTGTTTATTTGGGCCTAAAGGGTTGTGGCACCTGGCATTAAAGAAACTCTGTCTACAACACAAAATGAATATTAAAATAAAAATATCAACCATCACAGCTATCAATGACCCTGGTTGCTAAGTTACTGAAAAACTCTTTAGTTGGCTGCCACTCACATGCTTCAAAGGCAGGGCTCCTGGCTATCACATTTACTGATTGAATAGAAACGTGTTGATAATGTTCCATGCTTTGATCAAGACCGGTGATCCAATGTAACATCAAAGCATCACTTTAGCCAACAGAGAAAGAAGAAAGCAAGCCATTTAACATGAGCTCTTGACTTTGTCCTCAGTAGACAAAATGTCAAAGCTATGTTTGAGATGCTCTGAAACCCTTGCCCTGATGAGATGCTAATACCTCTAGCAGGGAATGTGCTGCTCTGAGCCCCACCCAGAAGACAACACGGTTCATAATAGACACATAATTGTTCATGTCATGTAATCTGCAATGACTACATTGTAGGACACACCATGGCTGTGTGTGACATTAAGACAGCTTCTGCCAATTAGCTCTGACTAACAATGCTAGAGAGCCGCTACCCAGCCTCAGAGATGCTAAACTTAAAAAAAATGTGCCTTAGAGATGGTGAAAATGGCAATGTTTAATGAACTTGCATATAATTCTGGTCTGTAACAATATCTCCTAAACCTTGTGAAGACCAACACAGAAGCTTCAACACTGGCCTCAGACTGGGTCCTAAGACTCTGAGGTCCTTGTGTGTATAGGGTGGAAGGAGGGGTGAGGGTTAGGCCAGCCCGACATGTCTGTACTACAGGACCTTGTGACCATTTCCAAGGCTCCAGTACTAGCCTGTGAACTTCAGAACCCCCACAGAAGCCAGAGCACTAAATGGCTTTGTGGTCCACTGAGTTTCCCAGCTTTTGTTTGATTGACTTTTAAGAGAGATCCTTGCCTTAATTCTCCTCTTTTGGGGTGCTTTAATGCAGGCAGTGAGGGACCTGTGGTTCAGTGAAGTTAACTGCATTGACCAAGGTCAACATGTAATTAGTATCATAGCTAGGATCCAAACAAGTTCTCCAATTGATGCTGATTTTAACCTAGACTAATTAAAGAGCTTGTATTTTAAACAATATTTAAGTACAATTAAACCACAGTGACATTCTGCGAAGAACATTCCTGAATACTCCAGAAACTCTAAACCTTCATCCCCGAGATACCATATCCCCATTCAGAGCCCAGGTGCCATTTTATATGAACAAGTTACTGAGTCAGTGTGTCAGGGGAAGGGCCTGGTCTCCTTTGGGGGTGTATTCTGGAGCAATTCATTGTTTTCTTAAAGCCTGGGGAAGAGTAAGCGGTAATCAATAGTGAAATCTGCCTGTGTCTCAGAGGCTCGATGGAGGTGGTTTTGAAGCCCATCACGGCGCTTGATTTCCTGTTATTTAGTGCCAAAAGTTATTACTTCAGCAGCAGCCCGATGTCTAATTTATATCAAATTGTTAGCTGAAATCTATTAAAGTTTATTAGCACTGTCTCAGAATACAGTAACGTCTCGCAGGTTCTGCTCCTGTTGAAATTGACCAGCTGGTTTAACTCTATTAGCTTGGAGACTGAGACAAACTAGAGTTTGTGGGAGCCATCCACGGCACCGAGGGAAAAGCAGCGCAGATGAGGTCTGGGTGTTGGGGATGTCCACTGCTACAGGATCGCTTCTGTCTCTCTGGTTGCAGGCTTGACCCTGTTAGCTCACATCTAACAAGATGAGACACTGTCCTCAGAATGCAGAAAGCAGTTGTCGATGTGATGGGGCATTGCAGAGGAAGGCATTCCCATAACCAGGACAATGTCAGTCCACAAGGGGACATACAGCAACTTGGTTGTCTGAAAGGTGGAACTGATTTTTCAACATACTTTCCTCAGATTGCCAATGGATCTGTGGCTTCTCAGGGTCACCTCCAACTGGAGAGAGAAAGAACAAAAGATCTAATGTAGGGAAGAGTAAGTCTCTGACCTGAGTGCATCCTACCTGTCCTCAGGGCCAGGACTTCCCCCAAATCAACCCACAAACACATGGAAACATTTATGTCGGAGCAGAATGAACCGCAGCAATGGAACACAATGCTTGGTTGTTTTCGATACCCTGGAGCAGTAAAAACGTTGCCCTTACAAGTCACCCAGATCTGGTCTGGAAATGACCCCAGCCCTGGTGGCTGCCGTTGTGGGAAAACTGGCAAGCTCTCTGGGTCCTCTGGAAACTGTGGGGCTTGGGGTGAGAGTTTAGAAGTTAAGCAATCAGTGTCCAGCCCTGCCAAGGCACAGTCTTTCTACTCGACCCTACTTCCCAATATTCACCCTGCATGACTCTTTGCAGGCATAACTGTGTCTTCGTTTTGGCCTCTACTTCCTCTAAGTTCCTTTCTACCTGCTACCTTTCCAGTGTCTGAAAGGAACTCAGAGAGCAAGGTGCTGGTGGTCCTGTGCCACAAATTAGAAATCTCACTTAGAGGTTCAGAAACCCCTGTGATGTCACACCACTGAGAAAGAGTATAGCACAACAGATAGATTCCCAAGTTCCACTCCAGATTTCTCCCCGTCATTTTAATAAAAGCAACCAGCACACAGAGTCCCAAGGCCGGGGGACCAGGCTTCACTGAACAGAATCCCCAACAGCTTAAAAGCGTCTGGATTCATGCGTGGTTCGTAGTAGGTGTTAATCTGAGCTGGTTGTCTCCATCAGGGTTCCAGAGAGGAAGCAGGAAGACCCACGAGATGTAAGAGACTAAGTGGGACGATGACAGAAAGCAGTTATGCACTGCCTGTGATCACTCAACAGGCACACCACGGAAAGGACGCTCCATTCTCAATCAAAGACAGGCCGACTCCAGGAGCGAGCTGGGCGCACAAGCTCCCAGAGCACTAATGTGGCAGCGCCTAAGGGAGTAGGCTGTCCAGGCAATCAGTCTTCACTTCCCACACCTCCTGCCTAGGAGACACAGCTGACTCCCAGCCCCTGGCTTCTTCACGACCCTCTGAACTTGTCTGAACGCACTTTGCACCCTTGTCTCTAGCACTGTCCCCGACTGCAAGTCCCACTGCAAGGCTTTTTCCATGGGAAATGATGAGGTCAAGAATGGCAGGTTTTATTACCTCTGCTTTATGGCTAAGGGAAGGACAGCCAGAAAATGTGCCCAATGGGAGGTCTTCACTCTTTCGCAAATATATTTAAATAACTAATATTCTACTCCACAGCAGTGCTGCCCCAGTGTCAGGGATGTCATGGTGAAGGCAACAGGCAGTGACCTGACCCCGGGGAGACAGCATTCTACCACAGGGAACAAAAGCAAAAGTGTGTCTTTATCACCCTACTGAGTTAGAAGTTCAACAAAAAGTGGATGCAGAGAATAGTGTGTCCAGGGAAACCTGAGATAGGACAATCAGAAAAACTAGATGGGAATGACCATAAGAAAAGAAAGACACAGAAGAAAGAGGAGGAAGAGGGAGAGGAGGAGGAAGGGAGACAACAGAAGCCTCCAGAAGAAAAGCTAACTTGTAAAAATGGCAAAGTGTGCCAAGACGAACAAAGAGCTCATTGTAAAACTTCATTGGAGAAGAGCTAGGACAGTTTGAAGAAACAAAATGAAAGCCAGGGTCTCCTCTTAGGGAACAAGAGAAAGCAAGGGCAGGGTAGAGCAGAGAAGTAAAGAGGCTGGGAGGTCATGAATTTTATCATAAATATAGTTGAAACCACAATCAATGAAAGGGAGATAACGAGATTAACTTGCAACTCAAGTCTGCCTTCTGCTGTGGAGGATCATAGACGAGGGCAAGATCCAAGAACAGAAGGTGACTGGCCAGCCTTTCCGGAAGGGATAAAGAAGGGTGTGACTAGAAGGAGATTCGACCAGAATCAGAAAGCTCACTAAGACCAAAGCCAGGTGAGTGAGGTGGCACAAACCTGTAGTCTTAGCACTCAGGAGGCTGAGGCAGGAGAATTGTCACTGCAAGGTCAACCTGGGCTACACAGCAACTTCAAGCCTGGACTAGATAATGAGACTTTGGTGTAACTCAGTGGAAAAGTACTTGCCTGGCATGTTTGAAGCCTGGGCTCCATCCTTGGTCCTGTAGGAAAAGAGTCTGCAACCGGCACTAGAACCCATATCTTTTTTTAAAGGAATATAAAACTATTTATTGACCACTGTTCACCATTATTTACAATAAAGTAAATATACAGTTGGATAACATTCTGATACTACAGCTGGCTCATTGAACCAGAACCCAAATACTGAAAACATTGATCCTATCAGTCAGGAATGAGTCAGGTAAAGAAAAAGCATGCAAATCATTAATTTATATTACCAGATTTTGTTCATTTATGTTGGCTGGTCTGAGATGGCCAATATCATCTTTAACTGTATTCCATATCCCAGCAAACAGATATTCCATGAATCATAAGCTTTTAGTAGATTTTCAACTTTTCTACAAAGGAATGGTTCACTAGAGGAACCTTTACATGCCCACTTAAGTCTTTTTGCTTGGTTTTCAGACACAGGGATTTTCTGTGTAGTCGAGGCTGACCTAGTCTAAATCAGAGATCCTTTTACCTTCAGAGTGCTGGGATTAAAGGCATGCACAACCACACCCAGCTTAAGTCTTGTTATTAAATCATACTACAACTTTGTCTAATTCCATTTTCTGAAGGGGGAGTTAGTAACGACAAAATTTTGTAAATAAACTACTGTATGTGATAATACATAAATTATGATATGCTTCCTGTAAAACTATCCAATAAATTACAGAATCACCTACTTATAATCTGAAAGGTTATGGTTTCAGGAAGATGTTCACAATAATGGAACCTCATCAACACATTTTCATCTATGGTTTTTGAGTATTAAAAAACAAGACAAAATGAAAGTTATGTGTTCTATGGAACACATGAATACAAACAAAAAACTCAGAATGGTCCTTCTGTGTCTCAGTTAAAAATAAGTTTTGGTTGTCTAATGACTGTGAGACCTCCTCGGCGTTTAAGAAAAGCTGTTCTTCAAAGCCAAGGAGATACAATATGGTATCAAATATTCTATTGTGAAAGGAAGCAACTACAGAAAGCTTTTATTTGCCCAAAGGAATCAGTGCTTTTTGAGGCAGAACAAAAACCAAAAATATCCCAACTACTATCAATACTTTCAAAACCAGTATATCAAACTTGATTTTCATTCAAAACCCAAGATCCAGGATATATATACACAATTATTGGGCCTCATCTTCGGGACAAGAATGCCAAGTCAGCCTCTCCTCATAAAAGGCAATGACAATCTGAGGACACTTCATATTTGCCTCCTTTGCCAGAACCAAGTCTGCCTCATCTGAGTCCTTCCATTTCATGAGAAACATTAATTCTCCCCTGCTGTCTGTGGCACCAGTTATTCATTCAGGATCAAGACCTCTGGCAAAGCCCCTTGGTTTGTCAGCAGCGTCTCTCTTCTTCTTGGATTTGCCATCATCAGATTCACTGTCAGATAAAGATTTCCTTTTTGTACCATCTTTTTCTTTACCAGCTTTTTGAGAATTAAGAAATGCTTCAATTAATTCTGGACAGTCTAAATTTTCCTCTGGTTCCCAAGTATTATCAGCATCTGTGAACCCCTTCCACTTGAGGAAATAGTCCACCTTCCCATTCACTACATGCCGGTCCAGTACTTTTTCTACAACAAATTCTTCAGGCTCTGCCTCTTCAACTCTTTTACTCTTCCCATTCTGTTTCTTTCCCATTTTTTGCAATGTAGTTTTATTGGAGGCCATTTTTTTTAATCGAAGACTTGAAGAGTTCACCACTCAGATGCTCCAGGCCTTGGATCCTGCAGAGTCTCTAGAACCCGTATCTTTATGGTTGTCTTTTAGCTGAACCACACTCTGATGGTTCCCAGGATAAAGGGAGCGAATGTGAGGGATATGGGAAAGTTCTTAGAAAAACACACTTAGAACATAATATTCAAGCTCTTGAGCCCTTGGTCAGGTCTATACACAATATACTCTCTGAAACAAAATCTTATGGTCACTACAAATTTCAACAACAAATGAAGAGGAATCAATAGACACAGTGTGGGGTCATTTGGATGAGCACCTTCTGATGAGTTCAGTCACACCATCTCAGAACCTCTGCTAATTTCTATCCCTATCCTGCAGGCAGCAAACACAGCTTCCTTGGTTTTCATGATAATTTTATGCCAAGTGATGGGAAATACAGTAGACAGATGGAAGCTAGGTCAGTACATGATGACCTTGGTCTTTACTCCAAGAGAGCTTGCATCCAAGCCAAAGAACATAGCCCTATCTAAAGAGGAGACAATTCCAAGAACATCAGCTTTTCATGACTGTAATAAAATACTTGACACAGTTAACTCATAGTTTTATTTTTTGTTAACTCATAGTTTTATTTTTTTGTTTTCAAGTTTTTGCATGTATTTGTGTGTGTGTGTCTGTGTGTAAGCACACATGTATGTATGCATGCCTAGCATGCCTAGGCACACATGTGGAAGCCAGAGGACAGCTTTTAGGAATTGGGTCTCTCCTCCTGATATGTGGGTCCTAAGGATTGAACTCCATCAGGCTGAGTCATTTTAGTAGCCCTTTAACTCATACTTTTGAGACTTTAGAGTCCAAAATCAGTCCAATATACGTGTTTGGCTTCTGGGGAGGGTGGCAGATGTCAGAATATAATGGCAGAAACACAAGTCAAAGACAGTGGTCACATCTCAAACAACCGGAAAAAAAAAAAAAAAAGAGGCTCAGATCCCACAGTCCCAGCAAAGAACAGAGTCCCCAGTGGCCTAAGAAACTCCCACTGAGCCCTAGTTCTTAAAGTCCTAATACCAATGACAGTGTTAATTGTTACAAACACAAGTGCCTATGTTTATTTAATGGAGTTCATGTCAGTTTTCTTGATCTGCAGTCATGTT